AGGCGGGGTTCTACTGTAAAAGGAAAACAAGTAGAAAACGACATTTCTGTAAATTCAATGTGTGCAGTTACACCATAGATGCTCTAAAACGAGAAATTCAAGATATCGATGAATAAAATTTAATTTAATGTTTCTTTACACGCTTGAATACTATGAGGCAACCATGAACGACAAATGTTAAGTCGTTCGCGACTTCTTCATGGTTTTCTGACTAGTTTCAGGACAGGTATTGAAATTCAACTAACCTGTCCTCCAGAAAAGCCAGCCGATCCCTCATTTCCTGGGGATCCCTTTTCTCCCTAAAATGTCAAATGGGAAGGGCAGACTTAAAATCAGTAAATCAGTATGTAAACATTAAATGAGTTGCACCCCCCCCCAAAAAAAAGCAACAACAACATCAACAACAAAACGAAGCAAAACAAAAGAACAAAACATAACAAAAACAAAATATAACGTAACATGAAAAAACAATGAAACTGACAATAAAATTGCTAGCTGCACTGTCATCATTGTGTCCTCGACAGAATAATATGAAAAGTAACAGCACGAAGAACTATAGATAAACATTGCATGGTAATAGCCACATTAATTCATGTACATTGAAATCGTCACGGTGATGCAACCATATATTACATGTCTTCTTTCAGCCAAAGCAGAACGTTGCTGCCAGAAAATATTAGTGTTTTAATAAGAGAAGTTTCAAAAGTAAAAAAAAGAAAGAATTATAACAGATGTTTGTTAAATCTTAAATAGCAGGCTAAAACAGTTAAGGTAAAACAAATGAACAGTTCTTTAACTCGTCTGTCCTACAATTAGACATGATTAGGCTAGAGGCTAACTCGAAAACCTAACGGTTCATTAGGCCTCTAGTCTCATTAAAACAAAATTACTGACAACGGATACCTTGTATGAAATCTACTATACATATTAAATAAAACAAATGCAACAATATTTGTATTTTCATATATTGAGAAAAATAACGACATTGTTGTTATTTGTCGTTATTCGTTTTAAAAAATGAAACGGATGAAATAAATCTTTTGTTACGAATGGCATAGGAGCTAACCTGGTCACCCTCGCCTCCTTCTGATCCACTTGAACCTTCGGGGCCTGAAACACCCTAACGATGAAAACATGCAACACATTATGAGTGAAACACGCAATTGGTTGGTCTGTAAAGAAGACTATTAACAACGCCGTAATAAATAATGTACGTTGTAATCCATCAGATATTTTCGCTACCTAGAAGCTCACAGTTTTCCTCGAACTTCGCTCTAGAAAAACCTATTCTGCTCGCTTCTCAAAATACAGATAATGTCCGCGGACAAATATCCCAGCATATTTTCGCGCCAAATGGAGACTAATGTTTTCATAGCCAACAAACCTGGACCCCCATCGATCCTCGCGGGCCTACACTACCAGGTACTCCTTGCTCGCCCTGTGAAATGCAAACACAAGGTTTTGATCAAACAATTAGCCACACATAGCTAGCTATCCGATTCTTATCACCCACTATAATCGAGATAAGTTCTGTACATCTTACCTTTTCTCCTGGGAGTCCTACTTCTCCATCCGATCCCTGTAAGCCTTCTTGACCCTGAAAAAAGAGAAAAAAAATAAACTTTATTATATAAAATTTAGTGCTATACCGAGTGGTAGCAAATTGATAAAAACGCTATCCCACATGTGAAGATATCATTTTTACCACGCATGCGTGATATCATTTCTGATTTCATTTTCGACCCTTTAACTGTACTTAAATCTGCTAGTGTATGATCGAAACATCTTCAGATCTTCATCAGACGTCTTCGGTAATCTTCGGAGGTTTTCGGAAATTGTTCGGAAACGTTCGTGTGGCTTTCGGACAGCTTTTGGAGAATCTTCGGAAATCTTCGGAAAGTGGTCGGAAATCTTTGGAACATCGTGGGGATTTTATCTGGCGCAGGATCAGTACTTAAAATCTGAAAGTTTGACATGGAAATGAGGCCCTCGAATACCTGTTCTCCTTTTATTCCTCGCGGACCGACAGTTCCAGCAACTCCTGTCTCACCCTAAATACAAAAAAAGATCAAAGAATAATTTGAACTTGCCGTGGCCAAGCTAAGTAAGATGCCAAGTAGTAAGAAGTAGTCTTTGAGTCGACTTTAAAATAAGGGATCTGTAATGTAAAATGTATGTGATGACTACCATCATCACGTATTATTAGTAAAATCAAAGACGCGCCTCCCCGTCCACACTACGCCGGAGAAATGAATTTGAAAAATGATCGTCGGTTTTTCAGGATTTGTGTTTGAGGAAAACTCAGGCAGGGAAATCACGCGATTATCGTAATGTCATCGTTTTCGAGCGAGAAGCTCCGTTTTCAAAATGTTTCCCGTCCACACTACAAGGCAAAGCCGGCGTTTTCAAATTCCT